ACTCACAGGTCTAATATTAGATCTCCCATCCGGCACCGATAGGTCCTTGACTGAACCTGTAGGTATCGGTGCATCGACCCAGATACCGTTAGCTTGTCTCGTCCATGAGAACATAGGGCACCGGAAGCGTCTACGGGCTACTGAACGTGCATAACCCAACTCGTTTTCGATGAGGGAATCCTCATCCATGCGACATGGTCCGTTAGCTGTCAACATAATTCCAAGGCTGCTGGCACCGGGACCACCAGAGATGTATAAGAAAGTCTGTGCTGTTTTAGGATTGCCATCGGCCTGTATGATAGTGTAGAAGTACCTGGTACAGATATAGCAGCAGCACACCTGTAATGATCTGCAACGGATCCAGACTCACCAACCTATGCAAGGGGCTTGTTTGCACGTATCCATACTCCTGGTTTCCACTGCCCTTGGGGCATAATGTTTTACCTTTCTTCGATAGCTCAGACGGAAAGCTTGAGGCAGCTACGAGAGCGATAATAAATGGGAGGAATAAGACCATTTTATCAGGGGTGTAGCTTTGTTGCGGGAGAAGTTACGCTACGATGCACGCGTGAGCCTTGGTGGACCTCTATAGGCCAATACCTTGTACCAAAATCGATATCTCACTGCTATAACTAGATAAGCCAACTCGACTCCAGATTCTTGTAGTATACCAGCTAACTCAGTGATATGGTAGTGGCACTAGCCAGTTGTAGGGTATTTAGTTACTGTCGATCGATACCACAAATATAAGACGGATGTAACGTTCTCTTAGTCAAGAAATTCACCCACGGTGAGAAACACGACACTTTCATCTGCGCTTGATGATGAGTTTGTCAACAGAAGATGTTTTTAACTTGCTACCAAAGTCTTATCACACCCTAATGTTACCAAAGGAAAAGATCTCAGAAGTCTCCCTCATTCCGGCGCCCTTCTGCTCTACTAATATCGATCAACTCGCGTACTTCACGTAAAAAGCTACCAATGAACAAGATTCCGCACGCACTTGTGCGACATGAACTTGTAACAAACCCTACACGGATAGATTAACTGTAAAGAAATGAAGAAAGAAAGACAGACATGAATCCTGTCATAGAATCACCGTTGGATGCGGCTGTTCAGATCGTCGTAGTGGTACGTCCACGCGCGGCAGTCTCCCCCCCCCAGTCGGCGACAACGTCACTCTGAGTGACGTTGTCACTCAGAGTGACGTTGACGTTGTCACTCTCAATGAGTGACTCACTCATTCAAATAACCACGAAGACCAGAGTCTCGCGGCTACCCCTCGACAATAACCTCGTCGGTGCAAGCTTCAGCGAAGCCATCACCTTGGCAAAAGTTCTCAACAGGGCCGTAGCACCTTCCGGCGCTGCGTCCGCCATGAGAGTGGTACCATCGGCATTCAAGTACACCCGAAAAAAACGCCGACCGTCCTCGCTGTCCAATATGTGAACCCAGCCTTCTGGTCATCTACACTCAGGGTTTGCCCTTTGGGCAGGCAAGCGTCAAAATTTCGCGGAAAGGAAATTTTATCACGGAAAATTTCGGAAACGGTGGAAATGGAAATTTCCGTGTAAATCTCGCACGCCATGCGGGCGCGCGAGACATGCGATCAGCCAGGTATGCCCACCGGACCCAACGTATGCCACTTCCGGGCCCAACGTATGTCATGCCAAATACTATTTGGCAAATAGGGTGGTTTGAACCAGAGAAATCGCGGCCCTTCGGCCCGCTATACTAGCCATGTCATCTTAGGGTGTTATACGAGTCTGGCCGAGGCTGGCCGAGTTCTGCTTCAGTTTGTATCCTAGGTAACTGAGTCTACTGTTCTGGGTCGAACGTGAGCACAAGCTTGGGCTCTTAGAGGGGAAATGAGATATTCCATCTCGTTTTTCATCCACCAATGGTGGACCACCATAATCATCCTGAATTACGGGAGAAAGTGATCGATGTCTACGCCCTATGGCCCATAGGGCCCAAACCCATAGGCTATGGGTCTCCACCTCGGATACCGTCCATCATGCTGGGGCTCAGCAGCTTATCCAAAGTGACGCAAATTCGTGCGAGTTACAGCTAACGTGTGAATGCGAAGATTACCGCCGAAGATGTACTCGATAGAACGCAAGATATGGTGGACTTAGTCCACTGGACTCCAGCCAAGTAGGTCGATAGCGCCAACCGTGAAAATAACTGGAGCTACGCCGACACTAGGTGAAAAGGTAAAATCTAAGGAAGATCTCCATTT